AATAAAGAGTACTTTTTAAAGGGCACACGTAATACAGTATTACAGTTACGTAATGAAAATTTATTCTAAACTGCTGGGATAGGACCAGTGTGGGACCAGTGTGGGACCAGTGTAGGACCACCTTTTGACAGGGGGTGAACTAGTTTTCAACTAGTTCTGGACCAGATTTGTTAGGGACCGGACCGGGACCGGACCAGACGGACCATTTAACATCCCTATCTGTGCCTATGATATGCCTGTGCCTTTTGTTAGGCATGAGCACCTGCCGGGCTTGCAGATCCCTAGTTTAGACTGCCGTTTTTTCTATTTTTTAGGTTTTTCGTTTTTGTTTCTTGTTTTGCTTGGCCGATGATCATCAAAATTCTACGTGAAATTGCCCCCGCTTTAGATAAATGTCCCACAAAATTTTTTCCACCCCTTGTAATAACGACCAATCGAGTTTTAGGATCAGGTGTAACGTGAAAATTGAGACGAAGCAAAAAACAAGATTTTAATTAGGAAACACCTTCTGTGGTCGAATGAAAAATGTTCCTTGTAAAATTTTACTTGTAGGCATCATATTATCCTAGTCCTAACCTAACTATAACGCGGTTTTCTTAACTTTAATTTTGCGCGTAACTTTTTACTTAGAACAAAACACGACCTGATCCTGAAATTGTTATTACAATGGGTGGAAAAAAAAAAAATTGCTTAAGACAACCCCTTATTCATCAATTTGTTTGTTTATAAGTACGACAAATATTGATTTAAGTAAACGAGTTTTATTTCTTTAAAAAGAATTTAAGTAAACGAGTTTTCTTTCTTTAAAAAGACAAAAAAATGAACGAAGAAATGGTTATAAAGATTTTATATAAACAGCTTAGATTATTAACCATTTTTTTCTTAAAAATGTCCTCATTTGAATTAATTCTTCATGGCCTTAAATTATCCCTCAAGGGTTTTATTGAAAAACATCTTCTCATCGAATCCAATTATGAGGTTGTTACTTCTTTTATTGGGTTTTTAAACTCAACGAATGATAGAATCATCAATGAAAGAAAAGGAGAATTACTTGAATATTTCATTCACCAATTTCTTGAAGAAAACGGAATCATTTCATTTATTAATAAAACACTTGTTTATCTTAATAAAAATAATATGCCTCGTATATCCGATGGAAACGTTGATCTTCATAGTCAATATAAACTTTTAATTTTTTTGATCCAGAGTAAATGGTAAGAATTTCTTGCTAAATACGTGTTGATAGTGATATTTGCTCGTAAATATTCACAATGACCTTTTGACAATCGGTGTGTAAGTCACGCTGCTGTTGAGTGAGTGGTGGTCTAGACACTGTGGGGGTCCCAGGTTGATGACATAAATTCCAACTGCTAATAACTTGTGTAGTCGCCCGTGTAGACATTCCGATTGATTCAACATGTATTTATTTTTTATTTATTTATTTATTTATTAGGTTAAATCTGAAAAGTAAAATTCTTGTCAAAGATTTACGTGAATTCTTGAATACAATTTCAAAAAAACCAGAAACATTTGTAGGCTTTCTTGTTTCAAATGTTGAATTGAGTGATAATGCTAGAATAGAATTAGAAAATTCTCCTATTAAGAAACGTATCTGTGTGTGTTTTTACTATGAGATCGTTGATAAAATTGTTGAATATGCACGAATCATGGAAGAGAAACAAGAAAAACTTAAAAAGCAAAATGAGGAAAGGAAAAGAAAAGCCAATGAGTTGGAAGCTGAAAACAAATTTCTTCGAAAACAAAATAAAAAAATCAAAGATGAATCCCAAAGTCAAATTGAAAAACTTGAAAGCCAAATCATTGATCTCAAAGAAAAGATTGAAATTCGAAATCAAGACATTAAGGAAACGTTTGATAATCAATCCAGAGAATTTAAGGAATTCAATAAAAAACTTGATTTAATTTTAAGTAAATTAAATTAAATATAGGAATAATATTTGTACGTATGCGGAATTTATTCTAACATGTTAACAGATTTCTCTGTTATATGGAAAATAAATTTTATTACTTATATCTGAAGAGGCATGACAATAAATTCTGCGTGATTGCCATTACTGATTTATTTTTATTTATTGTTCAAGAATTAACACATTCAAATCGCTTATATGATCCAATAACCGGTAGACATACTTTGTCTTCTAAGTAAAGTTCTTGAGGTTACTGATTATTTTTGATTATTTTTGTGTAGTGAATATAAACGTTCTTTCGAAGTGAAAAATGACTTTTGCAGTGATTTTTTATTAGTGATCCCAAAAAGTACTTTAAAGTGTATAAATAAGTTACTCGGGCAATTGATTTACATCAGCCAATCAGACGAATGTCTCCCAATGACGTGCAATCATATAGCGATAGTTCCGCTTTAGACGTCCCCATTTTTGGTAAAATCCCTGACTGTATTTGGGACAGTTCTCCCTGTAATGCATACGTGATTTTTAGCCCGAGAATTTAGTCCATCAGAATTAGATTTGTCGAGACCCTATCCATATAAACTTTTTCGAGAAAATGGAAAAGCTTTTACAATGGTCGATTGAAAATAGCGATCCCTCAAATGTACTGCAGCAATCAACTACGCAAGAAAAAGATAACTTAGTACGTAGGTATATTTATAATAATACGTGGGACCACTGGAGCAATATGAAGTCGTACTGATCAGCTTTTGGGTAAAGGATCCGGAAGTTATTGATCATATTTTAGGAAAGAATGACGCTGTTCGAATGCGAGGTAAACTCAATAATTTTTAATTTTGTCCACAAATGTTATTATATTCAATTATTATTTATTTTGTGGGTAATAGAGGCCGTCGAGGCAGTATTAAATCCAGAGACAAGTTTTGAAAATAAAGAGATTGCTCTCGATAACCTAGAAATGGTTTGCATCATTAGATCTTTTTATTTAATAAAGTTCATCGGAAAGACTAAAATAGTTTATTTATTTATAGCTTGTAGAACAGATAGATAATGC